TGATGGGGGACGCTTATTTTTTTCAGCTCAAGATCTAAGATTTGAAAATGGGAGGAGTTCAACTAGAGTTTGTTGAGGCGTTTATCCTTTGCTTTGATTGCTCTGGGCTGTGTTTCCGTTTGGCTGCTTTGGTGCCCTGGATCTGTGGGGGACACGTTTTCGGAAGTTTTGGCGAAGGCGGCATAAATGCAGTTATAGGAGTTGAACTTTTGAATTTGTTGAGGGGTTTGTCCTTTGCCTTGCGTACTCTGTGCTTCGTTCCCCTTCGGCTGCTTCGGTGCCCTGGATCGGTGGGGGGCGCTTTTGGAAGTTTTTTTGCTGCAGTAAGGTGTGACAAATGCTGTTAGTAGGAGTTCAACTATTTAAAGTTCGCCGGCGCATGGTCATTTTTTTTGTTGTTGGTCTGCGAGGCGTTCCCCTTGAGCTGCTTCGGGGGTTACGATCGATGCGATAGTGCATATTACGAGCTTAGGACAGCAATTTCGCCACCGTGTGGTCCTTACTCTGAGCTTCATTCCCCTTATTCTGAGCTTCGTTCCCCTTTGGCTGATTCGGCATCACTTTTGGCTGATTCGGCATCACTTTTGGCTGATTCGGCGTCGCCCCCCCCAGGTGGTCGGCGACGCGCTTCCTGAAGACGACGAGGGCCGCACGGCCATCGTGCAAGCCCTCGGCCTCGCTAGTGTCGGAGGAGGAGGAGGAGGAGGCGAGGGCGGTGGGGTGCTGTTCGTTGGCCGGAATCGCTGTGACGTCATGGTTGAGGTAACGGCTGCCGCTTCTTTTGGAACGTGTAGCTGATTATGCAGAGGACCCTCTTTTGTTGCCGTACGAAGTGTTTGATGTTGCAGCTGGTGACCCGGAACGCTTGAAAGCGTCGGTAAGAGGTTTGCCGGTTGGTGCACGCTGGTTGCGGTTCGGTAATTATTTCTGTAGTTGGGCGTGGCGGTGACTTCACTTCGTTCCTGGACAGCAGTACAACCGACACACTCCAGTCTGGCGGTACAGATCACTTTGTTTCCTTTGACGTCGAGATCCAAAATCTTGTTGCGGGGAAACGGTCAAGCATGCCAACGCCTCAGAGGAATACCGAGGTCGGTGGCACGCTCCTCGTAGTCATTCGACGAGCGTGCCACGTGGACAGACAGTCAACGCCATCGCCAATGCCTAGATCGCTTTCTCCGCAGTTCCACCTGTTCCTCCCTTGGGCAGCGAGTGTCCGACTACAGTAGAACCCCACTTTACGTTCCCCTTGTATAGCCGTAGGGCACATATGTTACCGTACGGACAAGTATTTCGCTTGTTTTCCGTCCGTTTTTTTCCCCACGCTGTTGCTCTCGTTTGCCACCACGACCCGCCCAATCCGCACGCCTCTTTCTCCTTCGTGAAACCGCTGTACACATGTAACTATCTACCTGTTTAGGTGACCCCGGACGCGTTCTCTACTCTAGCGCCAGACATGAGAATGCTCGCCGCAATCGAAAGCCGCGGGTTCATCGTGACGTGCAACGGTCAACAACCGAAGAAGGCTGGGGAAGAGGGTATTGGCACTGCTGGCGATACAGGTTAGCGCCTTGCGAAGCCTTGTAGACAAAGACACCGTAAGAATAGTAGCGACGTTGACATGAATCGTGTTGTGCACCAGTTGATTGGGGGCGTGATTCTGCATTGCTGTCGACAGAGAAAATCAAGAACGCTCGATAAAGGTGGCCGTGAAAGTATACGGTCTTGCTACCCTGGCGCGGCATGCACGCCACGCGAGAAAAGTCCAAAACAAGTATTGTTGCCCCTATTCAACAACACCCAAGCCGTCTCGGACCGCGTCATCTTGTTGCTGCTGGTGCAACTGATGTAGTGCCCGCTGCCGAACCATTGCTCCGAAGATGCGAAAGAAGAACAGTAAACTCTATCAGCGCCGACCTAGCAAAGCGCTTCACATCGCAAGAAACTCGCCGCCTACAGGTCTACTTACGGTCTGTTACTGACTCTTTAGGCTTGACCGGGTGTTTTTAATTCTAGCGCAATTTTCCGTGTTTCCGCAGACGGGGGCTCCGTGGATTTTCAAAGCCGGTTCTTCGCGCCTAGGATGGGCATCGACGAGGACCCCGTGACCGGGTCGGCACACTGCTGCCTAGCACCATACTGGGGCTCTAAGCTTGGCAGGTGAGCTGCGACAAGCTATAAATGTGTCGACGTTCTGTGTTTCTCTAGTTTTTTTATCGACGATGTCGTGTTTTTACCCTGTGCAACCCTGTGTAGTCTTTTTTTTTTCATGCTCGGTTGAGTTTTGGTGTGGTATGGGTACTCGAAGATGCTTGGAGTTATTTGCCGTTCAGTCGGGCGTGTTTCTAGTGTTGGCGAAACGCGAGAGTTGAGATATTTGCTGTCACAAACACGAGGCTTGCTTGCTTGGAAGTCAAGTCTCAATCACCTTCGTCCTACAAGTAGGAGACGTAAAGAGAACGGTACTGGATTTCGTCAGAGAGTCGGAGAGATGGCGCCGCCCCTAGACCGACTTTTGAAAGCTCGATTCGATTGCTCCACATCATCCAAGGGGGGGTGCGAAAAGAGAGCCCGACACGTGTAAGGAAAAGCCCTCTGCGGAATGGTTCCAAAACCACAATGAATGAATGAATGTTGGTGTTGCAATCGGTTGTGGAGCAATCGAGATTTGAAAATCGGATGGTTCCAAGACCACCTTTGTTTTTGGTGCTGGCGCAGTCTTGGTTGCGGAGCAATCGAGTTTTTTGGTGTTGGCGCAATCTTGGTTGCGGAGCAATCGAGATTTGAAAATCGGACGGTTCCAAGACCACCTTTGTTTTTTGGTGCTGGCGCAGTCTTGGTTGCGGAGCAATCGAGTTTTTTGGTGTTGGCACAATCTTGGTTGCGGAGCAATCGAGCTTTTTGGTGTTGGCACAATCTTGGTCGTGGAGCAATCGAGCTTTAAAAATTGGCCTATCCAGGGGGGTGCCGTCTCGGAGACGAGTAGGTGTCTGTGTAAACATGTAGCGAAATCGTCCCCTCACCCACCCGTGGCCATTCACTCACGCCCTGTCTGTCTCTCACGCCCGAAAAAAATGCTGAAAGAATTAATAAAATTCCGCATGTGCCGTGCCGTGCCGCTGGTGGTGCTGTTGTCGCGCGTCCCGAAGGAGATGCATGGTGGGTTACCAGGCGTCGCCTAGAGGGGGGACCGTTCGGGCGACTGTTGGCTTGAAAAGCGAGGGAGACGGCCGAGTCGTGCTGGAGGGGAAGGCGGTTTCGGTGTTCCGCGGGCTTTTTCGTCGTTAACATGCAGCAGCAGCAGCAGCAGCAGCAGCAGCAGCAGCAGCAGCAGCAGCAGCAGCAAGCAGCACGCAACTTGGGGTTGAGAGCACCGGGGGTAGGATCGTCTTTGCAGGTTGTTGTCCAGTTGAGAGGGGAAGACAGGCGGGTACAGCAGCAGCAGCAGCAGCAGCACCAGACGCAGCAGCAGTAAGCAGCAAGCAGCAAGCAGCAAGCAACCTGGGTTGAGAGCACCGGGGGTAGGATCGTTTTTGCAGGTTGAGAGGGGAAGGAAGGCCGTGTGTGTGTGTGTGGAGGGGGGGGGCGGGGGCGGCTTGGGGAGTGCGCATGAAAGCAGCTATCCAAAAACACGTTGATGGTAAGGAAACGCGGGTGTCCGCAGCAAAGAAAAGCAACACTAGTCGCGCTGGGCCCATGGTTGCAGGTGCAAACTGCTGTGGCAGCTAGCTTTGATCCAGCCACCTGCCAATGGAATGCTGCCGCTGCCCTCTCGACGACGAAATACCTCCACCAGCCGCGGAGGGGTAGACTAATCTCTCTTCGAACTTTAAACACCCACGCAGCCCCGCGTTCGATGCTCTGGCGGAACCTTTCTATCCATCATTCATGTGATTCGGGTCGAACGAAAAAAAGTATCATCATGTGACCGCAAACGCAGCCTTGCAGTTTGTCGTACATGGAGCCGGGCGGATGAGCGTCACCTTCTAACGGATAACAAGGAAGATTTTAGGTTTGTTCGTGGCGTCATTTCGAGGGCCTGCGGGGTTCGGCATGGTGGTGACAATACGACCTTTCTTTCGCCCCCAACCTCAAATCAAAACCTACATCCATGGTTTTTGTTGCTGTTTTGCTCTGTGTCGCAGCTTGCGGCATGAGGGTCGTGGAGAACGAACGCCCCCAACGACAGCTCAATGCACAGCCAAAGCCATCCCGCGGTCACCCGCAGCGCAGCTTGTCCGCGAGGTGCACTGGCCTGTTCCGAGCGAGCAGGCCATGATCAATGCGGAACCTGCCCTCGTTATTGTGGTAAAGCAGCGCCATCGCCTTCCTGTTTCAGAGGAGCGCCACCAACAGCCCCAAAAAAATCCCTTCGGGTTAATGGCGATTCCGGTCGATGAAAGTTACATTGAGTCAGACGATGCTCGCGGCGGCGACGGCCATGCCCCCCCCTCCCCCCACACACCTTCTACAGCACGAAACCTCCACCCTCCTACACCATCGGCCTACCTGCAGGGTACTGCTGCCGCCATCAAGACTGTAAAAACTGACCAGCCCCCCGGCGCGGGCGCGCCCTGCCCCTCTCCCCACCCCCGCGAGTCGTCTCTTTCGTGCGGTCACCATACCCGGACCCCGATAAAAAACGCAAACCATTTCGATACACATTAAAAATGAAGAAGAAAGAAGAGAGAAGATTTGCCACGGAAAAACATTAACCGTGGATGATGATGATAAAATAGTTGTTGAACAAAGCTACGGGGTAAGAACCAACAAAGAGTAATGGCAACAATTAATGGCAACATTGCTGATATTAGACTTCGGGGGAACACATTTGAACCGATTCTGACGATGGTATTATAGTGCGGCACGCTCGCGCCTGGTATGAGGGGGCAGCAGGGTCTGAAGGGCATTCAAGGTTCCAACGCAAACACAAAAGCGTCGTGAACGCCGCCGAATCAACAAGAAAACCATCGGCGTTCTTCCGTTTTTTAGAGCGTTTTCTGTTTTATGTGTCAGTTACAACAAGACAGAGCTAGTCGTGCGGTTTGGATCACACGAATACGCCCTTGGGGAACAAACGACACCTATCTCCTTTTCCTCTCATATCTTTCAAGCATCCAACCCCTAGCACGGGAGGATGATTACCATGGCGATTACCATTATCCCACTCGAAAGAACAGCAAGCCAGCCTTCTACCCTTCTCACCGAAAACACCCATCCAAACGTGAAGGTTTTACCAACATCACCATGCCTGGTGGAGCAATGAGAGGTACGAAAAATATCACCACCACCAACATGCCAACGCGCGCCAGCCGGGGCAAAGAAGACCACGTGTGAGAAGAGACCCAAGCTCCAAAATGTGGAGAGTAGAATCGGCAGTCAGCCATAACCCCCGCATCACTAACCACGAGGCTCCTAACTTTTTAACCCGCGAGACGAGAACCGTCATGCCGCACCCACTTCCATACCGTCCCATTTCCACTCTCTAAGACGACTGTCTCCCCTGTTGCCTAGCACCAGACTAACCACGAGGCTCCTAACCTTTTAACCCGCCAGACGAGAACCGGCATTCCGCACCCACTTCCATACCGTCCCATTTCCACTCCAAGACGATCGTCTCCCCTGTTGCCTCTCCCCCCCCCCAAACCCCCTACGAACCACCGTTGTTGACGAAGAAGTAGAAGACAACCCAGATCCCGACTAGCAGCCACTGCATGTTTCCGCTGGACTTGCCCGAGTCCTTGATCTCCGCCGCTACGGCATCTACCCCGGTTCCGTTCCGGGTCAACTTCTCCTCCAACTCCCTGTGCGAAAAAGAAAAAAAAGAGCGCAAGCACACGCTGTTTCGGTCCATGTATTGATTGAATAGCCAACGACAGAAAACTCGTGCTGACAAACACAAAACGGCACGCGAGTCACACCTGAGTGGGATACAGCGTGCTGGTATGCAAACATCGCTGGCTTTGTCACCCTGTCAACAACCAACCCGAGCAAAAAAGCTCGCTTTGATGGTAGATGGAACGGGAAGGCGAATTCACTCACAACATCGACTGTCGCAACAAGAACTACGCTGATCTATCCCCAAGATTTCCTGCTCACGTCTACCAATCCACACTACCATCCACCTCCATTACTAACCCCGTCACCAGAAGGTGATGCAAGAAACAGGACCAACCTGCGTATTAATATTCATGAAAAAGGCAGCAGAAAAATGCGCATCCGACTAATATATCATCATACAAGCCACACATGAATCATGCAAGGCTTACACAACGCACCGGAGCTTGCCCACTGCCGACGCCTTCGCAGGTATGGCTCGGGGACCCGCGGAGCCCCCAGAGGAGCTGTTTGTCAATCGCGCGCCCCCGCCGGAGGAGCCGAGGGAGTTGATGCTACCCTGGATGTCACGCAGAACCACGAGCACGTCCTGAAACGGCACAAGACGTGAAACGGTACAAAGAGAAACAACATTTCGACGGTGTCGGAGGGTGGGAGGAATGTGAGCATCATGATATGAGTCGACAATGCTGGAGGGGGATTGAGTGGTACGGGACTTTAAAAAGGGTCTCTTCTTGGTTGTGTATCGGACGCAGGCAACTGTTTATTTCCGGCCGGGGATCGATACGCCTCTAATCCTTGGATTCGAGCTGTCCTCAGAGACCACGCGGCTGGCGGCACACCAACCCCCCGACGCCAGTCATGCCCACCAGGTACATGGACTGCCAAAAACCCAAAGCCAATATCCGATCCCGCAACTACATATCCTATTTTACACTCTTTCAAAACAGTTGAGAAGAGCCGCCGCACATGCGTGCGACCCGGACGAGCCGTGACTCTGAACTTGGTAGTTTTTTTTTTTATTAACGGCTCAACTGGGGGGCTTGCCTTTCCTCTCCTGTCCTGCTGCTTACGACGGCAAGTCATGGAACTACGTGACGAAAGCCAAACACCCCGTGCCACACAGAGAACGGGAACCACAAAGCCTCTTCCTCGGGCCAACCAGGAAAAGGGAAATACAAAAAATCACCCTCACAAACGAAGAAGAGTAACTCGCACCCACGACTCTCGACAATGACCAGCCCAGGATATTCAACAAAAATATATAAAAAACAACGTACCTGGTGCCCCGCCCTGAGAGCCAGGAGCATGTCTCTCGTCTGCTGGTCAACGTCCACGAACAGGTGGCTTCCCAGCGATCGACAGCCGTTCATGTAGGCGGGGAAGATGGAATGCAAGATCCAAACCACCTGGACACAGACCGTAAAATTTCGCGGCACAATATTGCGGAACCGGGGTGGGGTGGGGGAGGAGAAAATTAGCACTGCGTCGCCCCCATCAGTCAGAGAGGCGGTGGATGAGGAGGCGTGATTGGGGCGATCGGGCAAAAGCGGCAAAATACGTGAACCAATCAGGGCTGCTGTACGGACCGACCCGACGCGGAAAAACCCGTCGACTCGAGCGACGCGTGGCCGACCGACCCAGCCCGCGTCCGCTCGCCATGGTTAAGTGATGTGGTGCGCGATGCGTACACGGCGTCCGGGCCGAAATCAGAGCAGGACCCAAGACAGAAATAGTTCCAGTTTTTCTTATTGTGCCAAGGAGCACGGAAGTTACTTCGGGTTCGGACGTGCCGATGGCTTGTGCCTTCTCCCAGTGCAATCTCCTGTCCGGCTGGCATGGGTTAGGCGGTCAGGCCGGAAGGTATGTACTCTGAGGTGCGTCTAAGGCGCGTCTTCTCGGCAATCATCAACGAGGAAGACAAAGGTGTGCACACGGAGAGAGTAAATTCGCCGCAAACGGTCAAATACACCGACAGGATATCGACCAGAACGGTACCGGGGAAGGGTGTTTTGACGCCAGTGCCGCCGCGGAAAGCAACACGAGCACGCGCGTGTCTACCGTACAACACCAGCAATTGCAATAGCAGAAGCAGTAGAGGACCGCGTCCATCAGAGGCAAAGAACCAACCCAGACGGACACAAAACCAACCAGCGATCAGCAGCTGAAAATACCACTACTGTCAGCATTATCGCAAGGTCATGGGAGCACCTCATATCCGCACACAGCAGTGGCGGCGACCCCTTCTTACCCCTCTTACTCCTTTTTTGGCACCACCATTTATTTGAAACTCGAACGAATCACTCCCTTCACAAACGCACGCAAGGAAACCAGCATGCACGCACGCACGCACGCACGATGGGAACACCCCTTGTCCGCACATGGCGGCGGTGGCGACCCCTTCTTGCCCCTCTTGCCCCTCTTTTCGATAACGCCATTCTTTTTCAGCTCGAACGAATCTCTCCCTTTTGCAAACGCACGCAGGAAACGCAGCACATGGCACCCACAATCTTCGGCACCACCATTTCTTAAAACTCGAACGATTCAAGAACCGCTCCCTCTGCACGCCCACGCAAGAAGAGCAGAGCACAATGTGCACCCACACAATCTCTGGGTACAACCCCCATCTCCTTCAACTCGAACGAATCCACTCCCTTGGTATAAACAAACGCACGCAAGAAAGCAGCATGCATCACCCAGCCGCGCACCTCGTACTCCGCCATGTGAGGGAAGAGCCAGGACGGCAACACCCCGTCGCCACCCGGAGTCGTGACGATCGCCACTTCCACCGCGAGCATGACGATCTGCCCGGTGAAGACCCAATCCCGCGCCTGGCGGTTAGCCTTCCCGAGAGTCATCACGTAAGCCAGAACTCCCCACGTGATGTACCAGATAGCCATCTGCACAGCATGGAGGGGAAGCGTACTCATGTTCTTAGCGGTTTGACCCTTGACCACGAAAGTGGTGGGGGGTTGGCATAGTTGTGTTTTGTTGGACGCGATTTGACCATGCAACAGGTTGTCCCAGACGGCGGGAAGGATGGCACAAATTGGCTTGTGTTTTTACCGTCGCATCCCCTAATGGTTACGATTGAAACGCCACTGCCTCTCCCTTGCCGCGTGCACGAGCACCAGCAGTACAATAGCAGCAACAATCGTGGCGGATGCGTGGTGAAACGACATCAAGTGCGCACGTACGACAAACGGAGAAGAAACCACATCGACCCAAAAAGCACACGGTAGCCCGAAGCCTTAGCACCCCCGCCGTCGCTCACTTGCTACATTGTATGCATCTCATCTGGGACAATCCAAGAACATACCCGTTCTCAAAACCCATGGCAGAGTCATGGTTTACCATGCCGCCCCCCCCCCCCCCCCCCTTCCCACCCACAACACAAGACCTCGCGCCCAAGAATCTAACAGTCAGACGTGGTTTACCGCTACTGACTCGAGACATGACCCATCTGTGGACAGCACGGTTGGAGTCTTGAACACACACCGAATGCACCATCTACGAGGTAGACGCTGTGTTCCGCCAGCCGGCAAGGATGCAAAGCTATGTATCCATTGCTAAATCTATCTTAAGACTCTTTTCTTAGATAGAGATTGATTCGTTGGGTCATATTAAGGAAAAAAAAATTAAGAAACACTAAAGAAGACACTCGACGGCAAATCAGTCAAACTATACGCGAGCACAATGGGGCCAGCAGGTAGTGCCGCAAGACCGCCTGGTGTCGCGTGACCTCCGTCTTCCCGTTGACCGGGGTATAAGCTGTTGGAAGATGGAAAACGAATGGTACAGCAGTACGTGCCAACGGCTTTCGAGCACGAATCCCGCAACATGGTCATCGATCACAGCCACGTGTTACGGTACATCTAAAAGCATCGCCTACGCACCTACCTCAATGAGCACGGTGCATACTGCGTGTTGCGGTACATCTAAATGCATCGCCGACACACCCACCTCAATGAGCATGGTGTTCTCGTTGAAGGGGTGCTTTGACGTAGCCGCCTCCGGTCCGAGCTTGTCGTAGATCTCCCGCTTCTCCGAGTCCATCAAAATCTTCAAGCGACAGTTCCGTCGACAGTCCCGGCCACGGCAGTGGCGCACGGCAACATCACCACCACCAGCCGCAGTTGGCAACACAACGATTAGAAAATTGTCATCAACCAAGGGGAAATGGGTATAAAATATTCACAGCGACGGCACACGGCAACGCAGCGCTTCGAAAAATGGGACCGATGAGGGCCAAAACAAGAGTCAAACTGTTAACGGAAGGCGCACGACTCTTGTAAATGGGTCAGAAGCTTTCCGAGGGGGGTAGGTACCTCGTGTCACGTTTCGGAAAATGACATCGGTGAGGGCAAAACAAGACGTCATGATTGGATGAAGGCACACGCCTCTTCCTACATGCTTCAGAAGCCTTGCAACAAGGGGGGTATCTCGCAACGTCTCAAAAAATGATACCGGTAAGGGCAAAAAGGAGTTTAAGGTATAATGAAGGCATAAGGCTCGTTTACATGTTTCAGAAGATTTTCGACAAGGGGTGGGTACCTCGTGTATCTTACACCGGGGACTTCTCGGCAGAGGCCAACCAACCGGGTAGTTATTCTTGGGGGAGCCCTCGATGGGGCATGGCTTAAACGACCTTCCCAGTCCACCACGCGGAAACATACCATAGACCTCATACCACATCCGTAACGAGCTGTTGTCCTATTGCGTGTAGACAAACATCCTTTTGCCTGGAAACAGCGCTACCGGCCATCCCGGGGGAAGTGGCACTGCTGTTCGATGTTGGTGCCCCGTACCGGGGACATGGCCGGTGAACTTAGGTCTTGAGGCTCCCTACCTTCCAAGCTCAAAAGAGACACTGCCGCTGGAACCTACGAACCCAAATACGTTTCAGTCTTTATTGTCTGGTTGGCAAGTTTGGGGTGCCAGCAGAGGCCGTGGAGGCTGTTCCTGCTGCACATGGCAACCCCAAGACGCGCATTGCAACCCCGGCTCTCGGTCCTACACTTCACACCCTCCTGCTGTACGCGGCTCAAACACGCGACTTGCAACCCCCCGGGTTCCGGCCCTACACTTCTTCACACCTCCTGGGCGGCCTGTATCTTGGAGAACATGTCCGCTGCGTCCTGGGAGGGGTTCTTGTCCGGGTGCAGCTCGAGCGACAGCTGTCGGTACGCTCTCTTGATCTCGATGGCACTGCTCCCTCTCCGCACCCCGAGCAGCTGGTAGAAGTTCGGCCCCCGCTCCGCGTTCTCCAACGCCTGTGGAGGAGCAGCAGCAGCAGAAGACGGCATCAAGACAAAATAGGAAACACATGAACAACCAACTTCTTGGAGTACAAGCAACGCTTATGTTTGTTGGCGCTGTTGGCTGCAGACTCCGGAGTTCAGTTGGTGTGCGAGAACTGCTGCTGCCGCCGGTTGTCCGTGTGCTCTCTGTCTGGTCCCTAGACGCCGCGCGAGAGTTGATAATTTCACAACGACAGTAGTACTAACGACAAGCAAGAGAGGGTCTCTCCAGTCTTGTTGAACAAGAAAATAGTTGCAAACACAGCAGATTATTTCAAGTTCGCTACTGTCCAAGAGCGAGGGTGGGAGAAGAGAACAAGCAACCAATCAACCATCGATCTGCTGTGATCCAAGCTCGACGCTATGTAGTTGCAGCAGACACCGGACACTCCGCGCCGATTCGAATTTTCTGGCAGCATACAGCAGTAGGGCTGAATTTCTCTATTTTCGCAAATGGAATATACCTAGAACCTGACCCAAAGCCGTACATACGCAGCTGCACCACGGTTTTATCTGCCTTAGCCGAAACATCGAGCACGCACACAGCAGCGTAGCTGTATATGCAGCGGGTTGACGATAGAGCTGCACCAACTGCAACTGCCCGCGGGCACATGTTGACGCATGAACACGGGGGGGACGAGCCCCCACCAAACACACACTACCTTTTGACTGCTGGAAGATCCTGAATCGCCACGAGTTCACACCACGCAACACACAGCGACATACGCCCCCTATGGTATTTTTGTTTGTCTGTGATCTCTGCCCCTCTCTCACCATCTTGCCGATGGCTATCGTAGCCAGGAACGCGATGGCGTAGACGATGGCTCTGTCCTTGGGGAACCTCTTGGGGGCGAGGATCCATGCACACACGGGGTGCACGAACATCACATAGAAGAAGAGGGTGCCCAGCGCACCGGCTGACTCCGCGGTGTCCGACATCTTCGCAGAAGGGCTCCTCCCGTCACGTCACACGCACACCAGACCAGCCGCTGCTTTCCCCACGCGCACTCCCTGCGGCCCTCAGTTGCTGTAGGACCCGCCCCTCTTCTCCCCGCCTGTGTTTGTATGAATAGGGTAGCTCCGGTTCGGGCCAGCGAGGGAAAAGAAACTTCCAAGACCAACGGCGGGATGATGGTCAGCTCTAGTGCTAGGGGGTGGCTCCTCCCGAGTAGATTATGGCTCCCCTGTACGGTGCACCTCGTTGCTGCTGTGTTGGTGCCACTTGGCAAAGCTGAGGCGCTCCGCCAATGGGGCTCCGTGAATGAAGCGCGAAGTACCCCGGCGGGGGGCTACGCACGCGTACCGCAGCCGCACATGCGGGCAGGCCTGACCAGCATCGCTGCACGAGGCACACGGTGGTGTACAGAGGCTGAGCTTCACGGAAAACGCCTTACTCTCACCCTGTTTTGTTCAAGAAACTGGGGCGTGATCCTCTTCTGGGGTTAATTGCAACAGATGTGACATGTATCGTATGCATATTTCACATGTGGTTGGGACCAATAAGGCAGGGTTCTACGCTCATGTGCAAATAAGTCCAGTACCCAGCCGGTTTTCCTCCACTCACTGACAAGACTCCACCACATCCCGTTCGACTGTGGGCATATCTCGAATGGGTAGTCTCTCTGTGTGTGTATTCATTATTCCTTGATGCACAGCGCACTCTCCATCCATCCCTCAGGGCTCAGGGAGGCTCTGAGGAGTGAAAAACTCTACCTGCCGTGAGGATGACCAGCAGCGAGAGGTCCCTTTTCAAGGGCAAGGGGTGTGGGCGCAGGGGGAGCGGAGCAGGCTGCAGGCGCTGCGCGAAGGGGCTCGTGCTGTTCGGGCGCCCCGAGTGAAACTGGAAGCAGCTTCAATGCGTACAGACCCGATGCGAACGGTTATTATTGCCTTTGCCGCCGTCTTTGGTTCAAGGATGTTCGATATACCGAAGTTCGTGGGGTCCCGTTCAAGTACATGGAACTGACTGAGAACACGAAGTAGCCCTTCGTTTCACAAACAACCAGAGTGAGTGCCCTGCAGTACCACTTCATTGACAGCTTTGTCTTCAACGCGATGCTCGGTGGCAGGAGGAACACAGCTGGTGAACAATACATAGATCGGTTCTCTTAGTCGTCTCGAAATGACAGGTCTACCAACTGAAAGGACGGGATGCTCGAGGAGCCGCCTCTCCCCAACAATTTTGCCTGAACCGACGAGGCTGTGGGTGACATGACACACAGAAAAATACATGAACGAAAAAAAGTCGCAAAGCAAACCTAAGGCTAGATCCTATCCCACACACCCAGCTCTGCAAGTTTTGACCAAAACGAAGGATACAGCCTCGACCCCAGTCCATCCTCGCCCACCGACTGCCTCCCATATCCTCGAGATACAGCAGTATCTCAAAACGCATCGTCAAGATCACCAGGGTTGAGGGGAAATGACAAATAGCTGTCCCAGATGAAACGTGAATGGGTGGTCAACGGTATGAACGGCCTGATTTTTCTGCCATCGACGACAAGAATCGTTTCCACCTCGCCCACACAGCATCTTCGCTCGACCCAAACCGAATCGTCAAAAGGGAGGCAAAAACATACTCACCCTCCTCCTCATAGTCCCCACCTTGTTTTGTTCACGACAAGCTCGACTCTTTTCTCCTCGACCGAGTACACGTACGCAGCACTCCTCCAACAATACCGTAGTCTTTGTAAGGTGGGGCGCGTACTATACCTCTACGCCCCTTCTGTTCTCCGGGCCAGCCAAAGGAAAAAGAAACTCCAAATGACACATCAAATCCCAAAACTTGTACAAGGGAGCCCCCGAGCCAGTACGACACCACCCGCTCGCCCCGGCCGAAAAAAGGCTCCCGGCTATCTAAAACTAGCAGGCACAAAAAAGCGCGCGATCCATCCTACCCGCGGTGCCTATACCGCGGAGACGATCGACAGAACTGCACGCTCTATGGCGTGCAACAGGGGCAAATCACGGTGGTGGTAGGGCATGCTCGGTACCGCATAGCACAGCACGCCGAACAGGTGCGTTAGCCTATTTGTCGTGTACCGCAAAACGCGGCACACCTTGCAGCACCGACACTGCTGCACGGTACCACAACAACGGGAGCAGCAGCAGCAAGCAGCAGCAGCAAGAAGCAGCAGCTAGCAACAGCAAGCAGCAGCTAGCAGCTGCAGCAGCAAGGAGCAGCAGCAAGCAGCAGCAGCAAGCAGCAGCCGTCCCAACTGCTCCCCGGTGCCTAAGTTGCTTGTTGCTGACCACTCTTCTACTTGGCCGCCACGATCGAGAACTTATCGGATACGTACGCGGTGTCGTCATCGTCCTTGTCCCCGTCGTCCTCTCCGCCCCCGGCCGTGATGGGCCCGGAGCTGAGCTGGGAGACATGTGCGTAGAGCGCGCTGAGCGCCTCCTTCACCTGCGGTGTTGTTTGTTGTTGTCGTTCACACAAGGGAGTACAGCAAGCGTAAGCGGGTGAAGCGTGGGGGCATGCACGCGGTGAAATAAACTCGTGCTTACGACCCGCACTATTCTAGTCGGAGCGAGGAAGGGGCCTACCGGCTGCTACACCGCTGGAGGGGGGGGGGGGATCACCATCGCGCTGCGACTGTTTGATGAACCAGAAACACTGCCAGGTGGAACGATGAACCTGGGAGCACACCCACAAAACTCGCTTAAAACGAGAGCCAAACACACACACACACACCGACCCACACCTTGGCTTCCTGTCCCTTCTTCGTCGCGAGTACGAAGGCCGAGAAGTCTACCGGGAGCCCGTAGCGCATGACGCTCTCTACGTACGACTTAACGAGCTTGACGTGCATCCACGCCGAGAACGCCTCCCCGAAGTGGGCGCGGCACCACCGGATCATGCCCGCGTGCAACTGCTGTACCTCCGTCTTGAGCTAACGTGGACGGAGGAAGCGGGGGAAAAGGCGCAGACACCAACATAGCCGTTGATTTGTTAAAAATCAGATGGTCATGTCTTCAGCTATGGCGACGAGTAATGGCGAACGGGGCAGTGGCAACGGGGGAAGGAGGGGGGAAGCGGCGGAACGAGCCAACACGTCGCGAGTGGTTCGTGCACAATCAGAGGGCGATCGTCATGCGCAGGCTGAGCTAGAATTGGCCGGCAAAGGAACGCGCGTGCCATAAGTGGCAGCACAGCACCTAGTGGGGTATTCTCCTTGTCCTTACCTTCTTCCGATGCACTAATACACACGCTCCAGTCACAATCAGCGGCATACCCAAAAGCTATCCGAGCGAAATTGCCCGTGTATGTGTCTCTTGAGCTCCCACTAGAAGTGGTACAATACAGAGAAGCACATGCATAGCAACCTTCACGCATGAAGCGATGTCAGCAGTAGCAGGAGGACCCGCGGTATGCATGCACATCAAAACCGACCTGCTCCTCCACGCGCTGGTTTTCCCCAGTCCTCTCCGGGTTAAAGATGAAATCGCGAGCCGTGAATCGCTTCTCCTTGCACTTCCGCTTGAACTCCGCCACGTAGTCCGTCGACATGCCCGCCTGGAACTGCTCCCCGTCGTGGAACCCCGCCTGAACGAATCGCAGGCGTTATTGCAAGGCGTTGTTGCGTGCATGGTGGTAGGCTACAACACGCGAACGAAGTGCATCACATTCCTCCATCAAAATAAAACCCATGTCACTGCTGTATGGACAAATCCCAAAGGCTCGCGTTGGTCCTACAAATATTTTGTGCGTGGTAGGAAAACATGGCCTGGAATTTACCAACGTGCATCTCATGTGCTTCGCCTTATCCCTACTGCTGTACCATCAAAAACGGCAACACCACCACAACCTGGTGCTGCCTTCTGAGCGCGATGCCATGTGTCTAGTCCAGCAGTTTTTACCAAGTATCGAAACGAGTCAACAACCGTGAAAAAAACATCTCGCAAGACACCCCCCAAACGACTGTCCACACCTGGTACTGCCCTCTGAGCACGGTGACGGTGTAGAGGACCTGCTCCCCCTCCTCCAACACCTTCTGGGTGGAGCCGGGCACAACGGGAGACCCTTTCACGACGCCCCTGCTGGAAAACCCGGGGCCGAACTGCCCGTCTTGGGTGCCGAGGCTGTACGCTACGCTAGGGTTGGACCAGTCCGGGCTGCCGAGAGAGGCAATTTCCTGCAGCAGCAAAGAACAAACGCGTGCGGTGCTCGAAATGAGGCTTGGTCTGGAGAAGGCGGCAGGTATATGCCTTTCGTGAAGAAAATCAATCCGATACTGATGGACTTAGATCTATGCCTCGAGCTCCCCATGCGCCCGACGGCTCTTTTGGTTCATGCTCCCTGGTCCCCCTTCGTCTCCTGGGCTTGAATTGAAGGTATAGGCCGTGACAACGTAGGTGGCCAAAGGAGGTTGTAGCTGGTGCCCAACCTCCCCGGCGGCAGGTTGGGACGTTGGGGACCGACCTTGGACGCATTTAAGTCTACGCTGCCAGCCCACCCTATTTATTGAACCAACGCCGTAATCCGTGATGCGGGGCTAGCTGCATACAATGCAACCTGCCTTGGCCACCCGTGAACCCTTGTGTATTCAATCGCCACCCGGTCGGCACTGAGCGATCGCACCCACACTAGACTGACTTTCAAAGCTCTCGATTGACTGTCCGAAAACCAAGAGGGTGCGAACGCCGACCGACGCGTGGGAACAAAAAAAAAAATGAGGAGTAAACATGGCACTATCCGTATCCGGCGGTGAGTACAACGATGCTCTTCTGCATCCACTGATGTTCGCCCTTCGCCAACCTACAACGACGGCAATCGACTCTCTCTCTCGTCTACGCATCTCTTCCCCCTTCTCGTCGGCATTGTCATGCCATCCGTCCGTCCGTCCGTCCGTCCGCCCGCAGGCACTCACGCTTCCGATGGACTCGTACCCCTCGAGCCAGTCCTTCTCCTGGGGCTTGCCCATGGCCACGGCGAGCGTCACCAGGTTCTCCGTGTCCACCATCATCACGCCCCGCAGCTGCTCGCTCGACAGCACCTCGGATAGCTCCACCGTGGCAAGGTTGTTGCCCTTCTTGCGCTTGAGCGCCTGCGTGAAGAATGTACGGTGTTTGAGACGTACGATTCGGCCGCGTTCGGAGATATCGCATGGTGGGTGGGTGGGTGGGTGGGGTTACACCGCATGTACAAACTGCGGGCCCCCAATGGCTACGTTGTACGGCAAGCCGTCGCGAGGAGAGACCAGGACGCTAAGAAGTAGTTTCTTTCATAGGCCGTCAACAATGGTTGGAGTCCTCTTCCTGCTTGTTGTTGACGCCGTCGTACAACATCTTTCCACCTTCCACCTTGTTTCTAAGCGTCGGCCATCGCTTGGATAGTGAATCATAACCCCCTCCCCTCAATCAGCTATATTGCACCACTCACTCAACCGGTATCACCCACTCCCCCCGAGCGCACACCGATACATACATACGCCCTGGTGCTTCTTTCGCAACGACGATACGATTTCATATATCTGCTAAAAAAACTCATAATCTTACTAGACCACATGTCCTTAACCTTTCCAACCTCTCTAGCCTGGGTCAGCTCTACAAAAACAAAACCACCGCCTCCCTTTCTGCCGTAACGGTTCCCGCTGGCTAACCTGCATGGCCTGGTTCTTTTCGGCGAAGACCATGGACAGGTTCCGGTGCTCCTCCTCGATCTTGCCGACGGACCCCTGGATTAGCGCGACGAGGGCCGGCAGCCTCTGACGCACGGCGAACTTGGAGTAGTCCCACTCGAACATCCGCACGTACTGCCCCGGCGACACTCCGGCCACCTAGGTACACCAGGCAGAAGGACCCACCACGACAATAAATATCGGGACAAAGGTTGAGAGACGATGCCAGAAGAGGATGAGGAGCTACTTACGTACGTACGGCAAAGGCGATCCACAAGAAAAAGGCGAGGGAAAAGCCTCGTGGATAGGGAAAGACACAAGTCTCATACGTGCGCATGAACTAACGCACGAAAAAAGAACAAATTAAAGCGTCGGAAAGACTCGCGAAAAATCGAGGGAGAGAGCAACTGGGAGAGAAGCGAGGCTGCCCTCAGCATCAACGAGTGCCAAAACACGAACATACAAGTCAAACCGAAAAGCAGGGTGGACGGACATGGGGCAATGGCGACTACACGCTTTCGCGTCCGGGAGATCGCAGTGGGCCGCAGCGGTATGGGTCGGGTGGGGAACCATGCACACCACGCGCCTTCTCTGTGAAGCTGTCGGTGTGGCGACCCTCTGTCTCACTGATCACGCGATGCCTGCATTGTACGCTGTCTCTGCTTCTGTCTGCCCCCCCACCGCCTCCACGTCGGTCTTCCTTCGTTCCTATCTCTCTCTCTCTCACCCTCCCTCCTGCTCGATTCGATACGCCCCCTCCCCCCGCCCCGCCGAGCTGACAAGCTCTCACCTTGAGTGTCTCCGACGCCTCGCCAGCCACCTCCATGTACTGCTTCTCTATCTTGCGGACCATGTTCTCCACGAGCATGTCGATCCGCACCAGGTCGTCCGACAGCTGCATCAAAGAGTCCAGGGTGCCGACCTGCATTGTCAACGCCGCGCCGCACCATCATCACCCGTCAAACAAAACGACAACCCGGACAGCGGGAGAACGTGGTCGGTTGGCAGGGGTTAGCGTAAACGAGCGCCCAGGAACAAGTCGAACCTGTCACCAAACTCTGCAGTGGAGTTACCAAGCACCGCCATCATCGGGGGATTCCAAGCGGGAGCGTTGATTGACCAAAACGTGGTTGTTCGGAAGCGCTTGAAAATATTGGTCAACAACGGCTGGCTGCACAGGGAACAGATAATAGGTTTTGTTTACCCGGAATAGGGTGCGTGTTTAGAACAAGAGCCAGCCCAGAAAGTGAGGGAGAAGAGCCAAATTATATTGCGGTGGCGACATCTAACCCTAATCATAATCCTAACCCTAACCCTGAGCGCGGCGACGTACGCCCGAGCGCAATGGATGAACAAATTCGCGACACATGAGATCGACAAGAGGAACAACACACCACATCTTGCGAAAAACATCGAGCAATCCACCAAGCAAGACAAGGAAACTTGAGGTTGATGGGAAGACGGCAGCACACGTTTTGTCCCGAGCGGCGGGCTGCTTTTTCTACCCTTCGGGATCCTTCTTCCAAATGAATCTAGAACAACAAGCAGGCACGGGCGAATTTTTCCCTGTAATGGGTGCCGAGATGGGTAGACACAGGTGGGAATGTGGCATAGTCTAACGAAGAGTTACGCGCGAAAAATTTACACGTGCTAGGGTGTACAAGAAAAACCGAGAGAAAGAGGAACCCCGAAAAAATGAAGGACACCCACCTGAAGCGCAGGCACCTCGACCTTAAAGATGTCGGCATAGGTCTTGACGGCTGAACCCTTGAGCTTCCCGAACACCTGACACACAAACGTTGTCGTCAAAACCGTTGAAATTAGGCACACTTAATCCGCTGCAGGAACACTTTGCCCTTTGTTGGTGTGGGATGTACAGTATCGCGAAAGAGTTGACACAAGAGCGAAAGGACAAGGCCGCGTCGGGGAGGCCAAAAACGGATGCCGCGGTAACACGACATGAATCGAAATGTTCCAGCTACATTTGTAAATAAGTTAACGAACAATGCCGTTGACAACGCACTTGCTTTCTTGTACCGGGGACACACGGCATGTATGTCAAGGGAGCGACGGGATAGGCCACCGCCGTCGCCAAACCCCAGCATCGCTTTGAGGAAGTCTATTCAGCACCTTTTCGCTTCCGTGGTCTTCAACGAAGAAGAAAAGACGACTTGCGTGGCCACGAGCCGAAAACCTATTGTTGCCTCCGCCAAACGACTTGTTCAGACTATTAATAGGTGCATATTCAAGCGTGGCTGCAAGTCACAGCAAGGAGTGTTTTGTCGCCGCCACGTGAAAGGGAAAAATTTCACGAATCTATATGTACCACAAGAGAGTCGGTCCCAACGGCAGGGTTCCGGGACATGCGACTATGTAAAGCCCTGCATCCCGTCCGCATGGGACGTGAGCATCATCACCCTTGGACATATTTTGACCGCTCAGTTTCCCGCAAGGAGGGGAAGTGGGACATCAGGCAGGGAATATATCACCGGACAGCAAGTCAGGGCGGGAGCACTACACCCGCAGCCACAATCCAGAAAAAAACGCGCCTACATACGACACAAATACATGCTCATTGTTGAGTAATCGTCCAGGAAGAATCATATTCTTCCAAGTAGGTGTAAAACCGGGTGTGCTCATGGCCGTGCATGCCGTAGTCGTTAGACCATTGACCTCGCACCCTTACAAAGCCGGGACGGAGCAGCACGGGCTTTCACCAGACCAAAGGGAGTCGGGGGGTTTCCTTTGTGACCGCTGTTGCTCTTGAGCCGAGAATTTGGTCGCGGGGCGACAAGGATAACACGCCCGACGCTTGGCCATCCCATGAGGACCGCACTTTCTCAGAGGCAACATAACCACCAAACGAAGGAAACGAAAGCGCTTGCCCAGGTAAGAGGCTTCGGGTTGCCCGCGGTAAACACGTCGGCGTGGGCTGTTCTTACTCTCGCCTGCTATTATAGACGTGTCTGTTTGCTTACAAGCAGACGAGAGAGGCGCATAGGCACAACACTAGAGTGGAAATATCGCTGCACCATGTGCCGGCAGCACCAGAACTATTTTTGTGCTGGTTCACAACCATCTAGAAGTATGTGTTAAGGAATAATAAAAACACACACAGAAAGACTACCCATTCGAGATATACCCACAGTCTGTGTTGGAGAACCGGACACAACTCGATATCGAAAGAGCACGACCGCCGCATACCCCAGTGATTCAGCGTAATCTGTACAAATAGAGCAACTACCGTAGTATTAATAATCGTGCACGCAGCGCTCGAAGTGGAGGATGAAAAAACGCGTGTTCGAGTGTTCGAGAGGGTCTGATTACAGTAGTGCGGAGTGCCGTTTCTTGTTGGAGTGGGTGGGCAAAGAATATTCGGGGCAGCACTGCTGCCTGTTGTAAGCAAAGGAGGACGCGATCAAACGGATTGTATCGAGTCGTTGCCTCTGGCAGTTAAGAACCAAAACGCCCCCCTCCACGGACAGACCACCTCTCCGAGCAAATCGTAGCCAATTGCTCTTTCGCAAACAGCAGCCCCTGGTGTACGCGGGAGGCACAGCAGGCACGCGCCTTCACGGTGAGGTTGAACAGGCATGCACCAGCGAAGGTGGCGTAGAACTGAACGAGTGACGACGCTTGCAAGACCCAACAAGAGTAGGAGGCTGTGTTTCTTTTTCTTCCGTGCTGCACGGACTGCAGTAGCTGCAAACTCGGGTGGCATTACAGGGAACCTCAGCAAACGGCCCATGGACAGGGAATATCAATCCCGGCGAATGCCAAGGTAAAACGCTCAATCAGGTTCTGTCTCTCAGAACCTGATGATTGTAGATCAGCGCCAGCTCTCCAAGCACGCTCCATGCATGGCACAGAACCTCCCCATCATCTTCCCAGTTAGCGAACAAGCACGTAAGTAACGTGACTGCTTACTGCTCTATTGTTGTGCACGGTGAGAGATACATACCCGACTTCCCACTCATACTATCACACACCTGAGCACGACAAACAAACCCACGTGAAAGACCACCTCGTGCGACCTACACTGGGGCTCCTGCCCACTGTCCCAAAAGGGGAGCAAGCAGAAGCGAGAAGCGATGCACACACATCCGATCGATTCGCTTCACTCTTTTCACAGGGCTCTCAATTCCTCACCTGGTCAGGAGGCTGCTGCTCGTTGGGCAGGGAAACCAACGTATACGTGGTGCCACTCATGGCTCCCTCCTCTCCCTATCCCTTTGTCCTCTACTCCTCTCCCTCTCTTCCTCTCTTCTCTGCCTCTGTGCCTCGCTGCTGTGCAGTGTTCGAACGTCTCTGCTTCGCGGAGCAACGAATGGGGGCCGCGGACTAGAATATTAAGGGTACTTGGTGCGATGTAATTACGCCGCGTTTTGACCCCCGTGCTTGCTCGTACTTGCGTGCTTGGTCAACTGCCCCGCGGTTCCACAAGAGGTCCTGGACATTGCAGCTCAATGACATCGCCTGGTTCAACCATAGGTAAAGAAGATATGGGTGAGTACCTCAGCGGTGAGCCTAGCTTTCTTGCATCCCTCTTTCGTCCCCCAAGTAGCTGAGCCCGCAGGCAGGTACTGCAGACTGCAGCATGTCTCCGTGGGTGCGTAAAGATGTCCCGCAGCTGTTACCAGGTACTATGCATGTACCAGTATTTAGTTGGGAGCATCTCCAAGCGGCTCATCTGTGTGGGAGGCTGTGTTAGGTTGATCGCCCGCCTCCTTTAAGAGTAGTGTTTTGAAGTCGTTCGTCGGCACTGCGCAATTATCGGGAGCTTGGTCCAAAGCAATCGGAGAGGTCATCGTCCTACCGGACAGGAGAACGGTACAAATACCTGTCTTTCGATGTCTACCTACTAGTACCTACCGTACATGGGCGGAGAGATGGCACCCCCCCTAGACCGACTTTCAATGCTCGATTGCTCCACAACCAAGTGGTTGCGGAAAAGAGCCCGATACGCTACAAGTAGACCTCGACGAGATGTTTCGAAAACCAACACGTTTGTTGTTGGCACAAGCTTTGTTGTGGAGCAACCGAGCTTTGTTTCAAAATCGGTTACAGCAGTAATTTAGGGGGAGTGCCATCTCTCCCGCCTCGTACGGTACAATGGTAGGAACGCTCTACAGAGTGCTACGGCATAGTCATTATGATGTGAGGTATTTAACGGGGCACTTCCAATCTTGCGAGCGTCGGTGCTTGCATATATCATTATATCATTATGTATGGTGTGGTTTGAGATTAGTTGTGGACCAACTTGGCGCCGGCGGGTCAGCTTACAGTCCTTTACTAATTACCCCACCGTTTTCGACCTCGGTGATCTGTTCACGGCTGTCCGTCTTGGTGCACACGTCTTCTGCGGCAGATATGGGAGACATAGATATATTTGACGCCGCGACGTCGAAGAAGATACACGAAGAGCACCAGAGAGACATGGAAGATGCGGCGAAAGCTATCGGTGAGAGCAAGAAGTATGCATAGGATATCCAGCTTGCGATACAACGTACACCACCTCCGGACAAGTGTTTTGGTGCACACTGGTGTTGAATGTCCAGTAATGTAGAAGTAGGCAACAGCAACAGCGTTGACATGTCCGGGGTACGAGCTTTCGACGTGCTTCGTTTGTGCTCTCATTCCTCACCCTCCGATGGTGCTATGGGCGCACTGCTGTGCTCGGCATCACAAGTCGCTCTCGAACTCCACGCCGGTGCACCAGCCCGAGACCCTGATCACGAAGCACAAGTCGACACAACCTCAGGGGGTGCTGGGTGCTGTCGTCTGAACCGCACCCATGAGAGATCTCGCGCACCCGCTCGTTGTTTTGGCCTCCGTCTTTGGGTAACTCAAAGGTCTTGTCTTGAATGTTCCGCCCGTTCAATTTCGTTGCCGTGCGCAATGGAAGGCCCGCGAGGGATGGCTCTCATCAGGGGGCTTGAGAAACAAACGACGACGGCGACAACAAGAATAACCCAGTCGTTGACGGCGGGATCATTGCACGGAGGTCGATTGTTGAGGAAGCTAGCCCCGGCGACTTCCTTGTTCTCCAGGAAAAAACCGCCAGCACCGACGCCAGCAGCAGAACCCCTAGCGGGATCAGAGCCGGCAGCACAGGCACCAACAGCACCAACACTAGAACAACTCCTACTAGCAGAGATTCACATGGCAACGAACGCTCAACCCTCCAGCGCCGCAACCCTCGAACTGCCACCTGCAGTTGCCGAGAGCGGGAGCCCTGAAACAGCAGCGCCGACCGAGACCACACCTGAGGAACCTCCTGCCGCCGACGATGTCGGTGATGTGGGAAGGAAACCTCCCCCGGTACCTGCATCAGAGACGGTGGCGGCGGCGACGGCGGCGGCGGCGGCGGCGGCAGGAGAACCAGAGCCGGCGAGACGGTTAAAAGCGGAGGGCAAGGGGTCAGTCGAACCGGCGAGGTCTGCCTCGCGCGAGCCTGCGGAGCCCGCGCCGTCGCCGCCGGCTGCCGCGCCGACGAAAGACGCAGGTTCTGAAGCGGTGCTCCCGGAGTTGAAGGTCGTATCTTTCGACGTTCGAGAACCGACCCTCGGTGCTTCCGTGGTCGGCCACGTCGTAGTCTTGGCGGGCTCGTGCTACGTGTGGGCGGCGACGGAAGGCTCGGTGGCCCAGGGGTCGTTGGCTGCGGCCGTGGGGACCCGTTTCGACGGAGGCATGCCGACGGCCACGCCGCTGCTGGCGGGGGAAGGGGCCGGGGAGGCCGGCGGAGGAGGGGTAGGTGTGAGCATGGCGCAGCGGCTGTGCAAACGCACCGGGAGGGTGGTGTTCGTGAGCTGCGACTTGTCGGAGGACTCGCAGATCCTGGTGGCTGCCGTCGAGGCGAAGGTCGTCGCTCTCTTGAAAGCCGAGGATTGATTGGTGCCGTGTGTGCGGGGACGGTATGCATGCTTGCTTCTTGTGGCGGGCCGGGCGCCGCCCGCTTCTTGTGCTAGAGATGTAGACGTCAAAAAACACCATGGGTTGGCCATGCCTATTGTCTGTCGGGGCCGTGGTATTTGCTGCTTGCTGTTTTCCTTGGCAGCCTCTTGTGAATATTGTCAATTGTCAGAAGCAGAGGCGCCATCGATACCACGTTTTTGTACGTGGCCTGCGGGTTTCTAGTGGCACGGGTAACGACGACAGTGCCCGAGGAAGAGCGTCGTGCTTTTCGTCTGATTCGGCAGATGCGAAGCTTAACGCGCGCCTTTGTAGACTGCTGCTGTACACAGGTTTTTATTTGTCGTCTTTTTGGTTCGGTGTGGTTCGCTGGGCCCTTCGACGTCAGCTGTGTGGACTGTCCGAGCGTGGAATGATAATGATTCACAGGTGGCAATAGTTGGGAGTATGCCCGAAGATTTTCCCTAGCCACCATAGAGCGTCTTAAGCTTTGTAACAGAAGTGTGCGCAAACAGGCAGCACGGTGTTGCGAAAACGGCGGGGCACAAACATAGTGGGGAACATGTTCGAACCCAGGCGACGAGTCGCACCGATGCCGATTGCCCTGAAGGGGGGTCGTTAAACCCCAGGCCTGGATGAAGATGGACGCAGAAACACGCGAAGGTTTAGCCGACAACAAGCATATCATGTTCCAAAACATGAACGAGGAGGAGCAGCGCCGGTCAACTGGTACCTACCTCGACGTACGGCGCGTGAGCCTCCGCGCGGCGCTGCTCCTCCTCCTTCATGTTTTGGAACATGATATGCTTGTTGTCGGCTAAACCTTCGCGTGTTTCTGCGTCCATCTTCATCCAGGCCTGGGGTTTAACGACCCCCCTTCAGCGCAGTCGGCATCGGCGCACCGCTCCGTTGGTGCGTTCTGACGTGCTTGCGACGGAGCTGAGAGCTGCAATCGGTTGCAAGTGTTGGGCTTCGAGCGATGATTTGGACATGTGCACTGCGTATGGTTCATCGACAGCCTGCGGCGTCAAGCCGATGGCACTCGAGACGGTGATAGCACAGCACTGGCGGAGCGTCGGACCATGAAAACGCAAAGCAAACCACAGGCAGGCGGGATGTTAACGACGCACACAGGGGGGTGGCACCACAACTGAGAACAAATCTAGGTCGCGTTGAAAACAGTGAAGGGAGCGACAGCAGCAGCCAATTCAAGAAAGCTTTTCGAGCGTTGGGAACGCCATAGCCGGGCTGGTCGACCTTTGAAACGTCACAGCCGCTATTAACATGGCAATAAATTGATATTTGCGGGCGGTTGGCGTACACATGGTGAGATGCGCTGAGTCAGCAAACAGACCCCTACAATCAGCTTTCTCCCTGAACAACACAGCATCACTCGAACATGGGGAGAGCATGTTTCGCCACCTCCGCCGTTTTGTTTTCCATGGGCTCTCTCCGGAGGGTACCCTTGTATGTACAGGCGTCATGTCGATGTTTTTCGTGCTTCGGGACATATATCTGTCGCTCGCGGCAGCGAACCATTTCTCACGCTTGCTTCTGAGATTCTGAGAGGCACGCAGGGGGCTCGTCGGCACATTACCGCGCATGCCCGAGGACCCCCAGGCATCCGTGGCGCGTGCAATCGACGCCTGAAGTTGCCGGGACCGGCTCGAAATCGCGGGGAGCCTTTCCGAACCAAACAAGCCTTCGCAGTATATACAAAAAAAAAGAACACTTTTGACTCCTCCTGCGCAACACTCACCCCATGAGAGCAACACGGCATACACACAGCGAGAGAGAGAGCGAGAGCAGCAGGTTGCAGCAGTATGATCACCAGCTGCCAGCAGCCAACACCTAACAATAGGCAATCACCGGCCGTCGACCGTGCGACATGATGATTTCCCTGTTACCGTGGGGAAATTCGCGAGGAGATCAGGGTCCCAGTTTCCCGATTATCCATCGGGGCCCGAACGAATAAGAGATATAACCTGCCCAGAAATCTCCTCCTGGGTAGTAGCGATGACCGTCCAAATACTCGCCGAAGAGAATGTGCAACAAGTCTACACTACGGCAGCAGTAGCCTCAGCGGCAAATACGGCGTTAGCCTACATCAAGCACACATTTCCCCACGCGCACGAGAAGGTCACGATGAAAAAAAAAAGAAAGTTTCCCGCAACACGATTGCGAGATATTATCCGCAGATTGTACGGCAACCGGCACTTTAACACCGAACAAAGGTTAAGCTATTGGCCATGTCCCCTTGCGTCACCCCCGGGAGGCAAGCCACCCAACCCCGAACGGGAGCCTCGTACACACTACAGACACAATCCGAGTTGCGGATGAGTTCGGGCGAAACCGTTCAAACCGAGGGTTCCCACAAGCTCCGACTCAGCATTTGTGAGGTGTTGGCTCACGGAGAATCCTTGAAACGCGAACATGTTTCATGCAAGAGCACCAGGACCCAACTATTGGGCTTGCTGTGTATGGATACTGCCGGCATGCAGAAAACACTCACATCGTGTCACAGAATAAAACGTGCCTACACAATGAAACAGAGAAGAGACCTCACCACGTCCCCGGCGAAACTAACAGGATGAAACACACGCCGGAACACCAAATACACAAAACGCGGCAGTCCAATGTACGAAAAAGTGATAAACTTGTTGATCTCAAGCTACATAAAAACTATCCCTCTGCTGATACCCCTTGTACAGGAAATTATCAAAACTGAACACCACTTCATGCCTACTACACAGAGCAAAACCTGCCGTGTTACACCATGCTATGTTAAAAAACTCTGCTGCTAGCCCTCCCTCGATCCGCGAAGCAATTCCCACCGCGACACTTTGGTCGGCCCACTTTCTCCTTCTCTGTTTCGGCAGCGGGCGCTCTCCGCCCACGCAACGTGTTCCCGGGTACCGCAGGTGACATGACACAAGATACCACACCCCCTGCTCCCGATATTCAAAGCTCGACTACTCCACCAAGAGGATGCTAAAATAAAACGCCGCGTTTTCGGAATAGAACTTTCGACGAGACGGCTTCAGCGCCGCCGTTACCACTCTTTTCTGCTGTGGAGAAATCGAGCCTCTAAAATTCGTCCAGGGGGGGGGGGGGGGGACATCTTATGCCACCTACGGCAGGGGGGATCTATCTGGGTACCCGCCCTTTTCCTT